ATAAAATTCAGTGAGAAATAAAACTTTAGAAGAATTCTTAATTATTTAGTATTTTTCACTACAATGATGCTGATAGTGAAACATATAAAAAGAAAACTTCAAAAATTATACTTGGAGTGATTAAGTGCTGACATACAATAATCTGAATTTTAATTTGAAATCAGAGACAGACCTGAGATGTATTAAGAATAAAGTTGCTGCTTTCTATGAACAGTGTAACTGTTAGTAACATTGACTTACAAGTTTTAGAAACTTGAAGTAAATTGAATATTGTACAGTATTAATGTCGCTGGAATGTGGATATCTGGATACCTCACTTATCTAAAATGATACTTTGTCTTACATGCCTACATCATGCTTTGTGCTCTGAGTTTCATTTTAAATAGAGTGATATGTCTTTCAAAAGTGGTTAACTTTTTCAAAAGTGGTTGCTTCTTAAGGAGGTTCTCTCAAGACATCACAGGGCCTTGGAGATGGCTAAAGAACCCAATAAAGATGATTTTTTTCTCTCAGTACTTATCTGTGTTCGAATTTGAAGGAAGTGGAGTTTAAAGGAGCTACAAAAAAAATCATAAAGATTCATAGACTAGGTATTAGTTCTCGACCTTAAAACCACTTTGTCCTTTTTCTTGATTCCCTAATTTAGAATCTATGTGTCCATACTGATCCATCAATAAAGGAAAAGAGATTATACATATTAATTTATGGATAAGAGATTGGATATATTAATTATTTCTGCAATCACATCATTTTGCTGGGATACTAGACTATAGAGTGCAGTATACTATATTTGGTGAACTCCAAGAGACGAAGGATATTTGTTTACCTTTGGCTCTTCATCATTCATCCAGGCCTGGCTAATAATTGTTCAATGAAGATTTGTTGAAGAATTGATTGAATGAGTAAATGTCATAGAGGTATTTTATGTAAACTGGAAACATGACTGAATACATCCAGATTTAAATGAATAATTTTTAAATATTAGTACTATAATTTATGAGTAAATATTAATTTAATATAGCATCATACATTATTGTTACTAAAGATTGACAGAACTATTTTTGTAGGATATAACATACACAAACTTTAACTTAAAAAGTTATTTTTTGGTGATGGATTATGAAAATAATGCAGTGAAACACTTTCAATGAAATACTTTCTGTTACAGAAAGCTAATAATTGGTAAAGCATACTGCCCACCTAAAGAGACTAGCCATAAGTCATAGAGGTGAGAGTACAAGGTTCCCTTTCCAGAAAGTTGCTGGCATGAGAGACCTGCAGAGAACAGATGGGCAGAGATACTAGCTGGCAGAACATAGAAACAAGCCTGAAGTCCATGTCACATTATTATTCCTATGCATTTATTATAAAGCAGCTTTAAATTTAATTTAGTATAATATGACAGAGCAGTCTCTTCCCGTTACTTGGTCCCATAGGATCAGAGCTCATACTTTGGCCTCTGAGTCTTACTTCATGATGTCAGCAAGATGAAAATATATCTACTTTGCTCTTGGGAGCCTTTATAGAAAACACTGTGCCATTTTCCCCTCACTTTTCTTGTTTTTTTGGCTTTACAACATTATTCACATTACTGCTGATCCTTAGTGGGAGAAAGAGAATTCTCATAGATCTGTGCTTTAAATCCCTAAAGGCACACAGTCAGTAGTTGAAATTTAATGAATTCAGAATAGTAGCATAACTATTAAAACTAAATAAATGTGTAACTGTGCATCTAAAAGTGATGACTTAGGCAGTAGTCTAGCACTGGCAGTAATAGAACATCAAAGGTATCACTCTTCAGGCTATGAGGACATTGGACTAGGAAAAGGTGTAAGTGGGGATAGCTGTGACATTCAGAATGGAGATAGAATTATAGTAATACAGCGTCAGCTCAGAAGCTGAAAGATTCATATCCAGCACAGCCATTGAGGGTGCTTCTCTGCACTGATGTCAACCGTGTACTTGCAAAACAGATTTTTTTTTGCATATCAAAATAATTTGAATATTATGACTTAAATTTAGTGTAAATCATAGGGTTTTTCTTTTCTTTGCTTGCTTGCTTTTTTTTTTTCCATTAAGTTTATTGGTACATTTTAGGTATAAAAAACAGTTGCATTCATCATTGGGATCTTGCACCTTTACAAGATGTATCTTGGTTCTTATTTTTTTCCCCTTCCCCTGGCCTCCCTTCACCCCCTCCACCGTACCCTGTTTGCAAAGACTTTGTTTCCATTTTTTTTCCATTTCTCATATTTTTTCTTTTCCCTTCTTTCCTTTCCCCTACCCCTCCCACTTTCCCTACTCCTTTAGACCTTTTTTTCCTATTATACAATATCAATTATACATTTTTTAAATTACAATATCAAAATTTAGAGGATGTTACCACAGATTTTACAGAATTTAAAAGGATATAGAAAGCATATTACAAAAGTCTTTTTCTTGCTTGCTTTTTTTAATTTCAGGTTTGACTGAAAACTACAAGCTCTCTCCACCTTTTATGGATTGGACCTTTTGGAATGTCACTAGTTTTACTACTCCTGGAAGTTTCCTAATAATAATAGTCTGAAGTATAATAACCATGCATGTGACTTCTTTTGTTCACAGGGCTACAGGAAGGTCTTACATTTTTTTTCTCTATGTCCCTGAGAAATTCTCTAAATACAACATATTTTTCCCGTTCCACATAAAGGTCAAAGGGCAGGGGCAGCACAGTTTGGCTATATATATTTTCATTCACTACACAGTGCCTTAACCTCCTTTTGAACCTAAAGCTGGCACCATTCCTACAATTCATAGTAACTTTTAAGCTTTGCCAATATAAAGAAAAACACTAGTCCCTTAACACCCATATAAGAGTTTGGGATTATTTTTAAAACTTACGCGTTATGATAATTTTTAAATGCCTTTAATCATATCTTTTAAGGAGAAAGATAGTTTTTTTCTTGTAACTTGCACTCTGTTTTGGAGTCAAAAATTTCTGCATGATTTTTTAAGATAAAATAATACAAGTTAAATGAGCATTTTGCTTAATTTTAAGTTTTCTATTTTTTTTCCCCCATTTTCAGCTTTCTAAGAAGTATGGAGTTCATGTATGTGGAGAAGGTGGAGAGTATGAAACATTCACTTTGGATTGCCCTCTATTTAAGAAGAAAATAATTGTGTGAGTGATCATTTCAGCATTTTCTTCTTTTTCCTTAAATTTGAATGATAGAAGCAACTTCACTTTAAGCTTGAGGCAACTTTTGTTGGGAGAAATAGAACATGTCCTCCAAGTTCACAAACACTCAATTTGTTTAATACCACTAAAGTTGTCTGAATACTTAAATCATACCTTACAAGATGAGGCCTTCATAGAGGGCTATAAACTTTTTAGACATTGCACTTTCGTTTACTTGCTGATTATGGCCTGCAGTAAAATTGGTACCTACACACTGACACTTTTATCCTTTCATGAAGTGTGAATTGCTTGTATTATTTATCTTTCATTACAGCTACATTTGATAAACTGCCACATCAGTAGCCTGTAGGTTCCATTAACTCCATCCTCTTTTTCCTTTTTCCTATCTTTAACAAGTTAGAATGGTAACACTAAACATTTCTCTTTAGTTATTTGGGGTTGTTTTTAAATATAAATTGTTTTTAAACAGATTCAGTTTATGGTGAGTATTGTGATTTTGCGATAAATTGTTAAATTAGTACAGTGAAAAACAGGAACTTTCTTCAGTTTGTTACATTATTACTTGTGCTTTAATTTATGTCACTCGTCTCACATTTTAAGAGAGCATTTTATCTGCTTTTTCGAAGCTCTTATGCCTCCTAGAGAACTGTCAGATTTACACTTGGCTTAAATGGAGAGTTTCAATATTTTCAACATTATGACTATGATACTAATAATGATAAAGAGAATTATATAAGGAAATAAGACAACTCAAGGTGGATAATCTAAAAAAATGCTTATTTAGTTAAAAATGATCACACACTTTCATCACCATGTTTAATGTTCATGCATTCTTCTTTAATGTTTATGCACTCTTCTTTCATGATCTTCTAACTTCTTTTCCGTTAATTGTCAACATAATAATATATTTGGCAAGCTTTTTTATTAAGTTCCTGTTGTGTCCAGAGCATTCTACTGGGGCATTACTGATATTCTAAGAGAGTTTCTTGCCTTTATAGAAATGGGAAGAAAGCATATCTGAGTACATTTACGTTACATGATAAAAGTTAGGAATCATAAATTTGTAGATGAGAGATACTTCTGATTATAATAATCATGAAACAATTCATGAATGAAGTATTATTTCTATGAAATAATGTTTGATTATTCAAAAGTATATGCATGGTAGGGTATAAACATAATGGAAAAGTTGGAGTATGTATGTCCATTAATATGGAACTGAACAATTTAGAAAAAACAAAGTAAAAGGAAGAAATGCCAAAAAACAGTACTTTGCCCATTTATCTAACAAATTGAAGTCCTAGAACTCTCAAAAGTCTTTATGGACAACTTATTAACTATTGCACATGTACTAATTTATACTTCATAACTAGAAGATCTGCTAATTACAGTACTTCATCCTGGAAAATAATCTTTTTCAGCCTCTTAATTTTGTAGACATAGAAACTTAAACCTGACGGAGATCATGGTATGAGGAATTAATCATGCTATTGAGTGTCATCCATGGTGAATTAGAAGCCTCTGGCATCAAAGTGAGTTCTTTATTTGAACAAATGGTCATTTATTGAGGCAAATTATGTAGGGAGAGCTCTGTAAGGTGCTATCCTGCTCTTTAGGAGTATTCCCTGTTTAAAAAACAAAAAAGAGTGAGAGAGAGATACATACAAATCAACAACATGTGATAAGTGCCACTGTACAGACTTGTCCCTTCAGAACACAGAGGAGGAACTGTATTTTCATTATTATTTATCAGCTAATCTACAATCTGATTTTGATGCGTAAGGTTATTTTTCCTTCTTTCTTTATAGATTTTACTTCTTTTCAGCTTCAGAACTTTCTTAATTGATTCCTTTAAATTGCCTTCCCACTTTTCCTCACTTTGTTAAATATTTGTTTCTTTTTAAAAAATTTTTATAAGTACATATTTGTAGTACATAATGATTACATTCCTTTTGTGGAATTGGTACATGTACATGCCACATCTCAATTGATTTTTTCATCCTTTTTGCCTTCTCTCCTTCTCCTGCTTCCGTCCCTTGATCCTCTTCCTATTTCAAAAATATCTATTTCCCTACTTCTATTATCTGTCTTTTATTTGGATTTTTATTTATAATTTGGGTTTCTCATGTAAGAGAAACCATGCCTATATTTAAGCTTGTTTGTCTGATTTATTTCACTTAACACTATAGTCTCAATGTGCATCCATTTTCCTACAGATGTCTCAAATTTATCTCTTTATGACAGAATAGTACTTCATTGTGTGTAAATACATTTTCTTTATCCATTCAGCTGTAAATGGACATATAGGCTGCTTCCAAGATTTAGCTCATTTTGGCTGTCATCACCTCCAGTGCTGCTTGTTATGCTTAAGCTCTCAGTAAAAATATTTGTTAAATATTACTAAATTAATTTGTCATTTATTGGTTTTGTTTACATATTTTGTTGCCCTTTTTCTCTTTTAGGTTGTAACTATAGAGATTATAGGCTGGAACATATCATGATTTAATGAAAAAAGGCTCTTACTATGAACAAAGTCTTTTCTCCTCTTAAAAATAGAATAATATTCTGTCATACCTGACAATAAATGTGATGGTCTGAGTAAACATGAATTGTCCATTCCAGAACTGTATTTAAATGAAAATTGTTTTACTTAGAGATAGTCTTCCAGATGATAAAATTTAAAGCCAAGTTTAGTCCCTGTAACTATTTAACAAGCCCATTCATAATGATGGATCCTATAATTTAGAATTCATTTTTGAGAACAATATTTGATATAATAAATACTGGTGTGCCATACCTAGCATACAAGTATTTATTTATTAGGATTTTTTTTTAGGTGTCTGATTCAAATGATACTTGTTTTTGATTTTAAAAAAAAACAAAAGCAAAGGCCTCTTCTAAGGAGAAAAGCTTTTACATCCAAAATTATTTCATTCTAATTAAGAATTTTTTAAAATGCAGATTCAATATTTTTGTGTAGTGAAGTAATTGAGAGAGCAAGATAGCTCTAGAAGTTTATTATGAAATACATTGTGCTTGAATTAAGTTCCAGTTAACATTTTAAAAATCTTGTAGGAAAGACTGATATAAAAGAATTACAGCCTAGCATTTAAAAGAAGAGAATGAGAGCACCAGGAAGGAGGCTCCCCTGGCACCATCCCATGCTGATAGGGCAGAGAAGCTGAGTCGGTCCCAGCACTCAGAAGGAAGCTCCCCCACCACCATCCCAAGCTCCTAGGGCAGAGAAGCTGAGTTGCGTGGGTGCCAGAAGCACACACCCCCACCACCCCCCGTGGAAATGAGAAGACACGTAAACAAGCCTCAAAAATAGACTTCTGGATCACCTACAGAAACCCCAAAGGGAAACGAGATGGAACACTCTGACACTCAACCACCTGGACTCTCTGAACTGGCAACAAAAGAGGATCTGAGAAAAATGAAATCAGAAATAATTAC